GCTCCCTCACCCTCAGCTAATCCTTCCTGTAAAAACCTCATAGACCCACTCAGAAGTGTGTGCTTCATAGCAGATTCCAGATCTAACCAAGTTGATAGACGACTGGCCATCGTCACTGTCTGTCCTCCCAGCCTCCCTCCTCTTCTCCCCTCTCCAGTGTTAGTGGTACATCCCACAGCCTGTAATGACTTGGCCTGAAGCTCCACACAGGATTCTTGTCCACAGCAGTTCATCTCAGCTCTGTGTTGTCCTGGGGTTAGTGAGGAAATCAAGGCTCAGAGAAGCAAGTTCTCAGGGATCACACAACCTGCTGGATGATGCTTTAAGACGCAAGCCTAGCCTCTGGAATCCATGCTGGTGCTGCTCTGGAGCTGTCTGTCTGTCCCTGGTATCAGGGTGCCTGGTAACACTTTCACCTTCAGTGCCCTGTCACGTGGCTCCTGCATCAGGACTCATCATGGTTGACTAGGGCTCTGTGGTTGACTAGCTGAGTCATGATGCTATACAGTGTTTGATGTGATCTTCCCCCAAACACTTAGCCAGCATTATTAGGAAACACCACTGACTGTTTCTTTCAGAGTGACTGGGCACAGTTCAGCTAGATCATGTTAAAATCCTGAGGGGTAAATGGATTTTTCAAAACCTACAAAGTTATCTCTGCATAGAAACCCGCAAGGATGTCTTCTACTGGCAAGAAGTCCACTAAGGAACATGCCCAGGCTAGATATAAGGGTACCTAGGGGTTTTACCATGATTGTCCACTGGTTGATTCTGGTATGTTGGGAAACCCTGCTATTAGGTTCATAGTCTACATTGAACAGATAGCTCCCTGAGCTCAGTGAAAAATGGAGAATACCCTTCTCCAGTGGGGCTTTCTCTTCTCTGCTTGACCTTATCTGGGGAGCCTGACCTGCACTTCCTCTACCTGAGGAATGTCCTTGGCAAAATTATGGGTTCAACTTCCTTTCTCCCGATAAGACCCTGCCTGTAAGCACCTGGAATGCCTCTCCATTCAAATGAGGCATTTCCAGTACCTAAGCCTCAGCCAATGTACATTCACCTCAAAAACCTATTCCCACTCTCCAAGCTTTATACAGCCCTTGTTCACCCCAAATAAAATAAACGCACAAGCTGTGTCATTGAATACTGTCTAAAAGAACTGCTTCAGTCACAGACGGCACGAGATCTGGTGCCTGGACTTTTGGAGGGAGGAAGTAGAATGTGGAACCACACTGGTGTATATATATCTTGGTTTTCCTCATGGAGCCAACTGGGCTCACCATATAAAATGCATATATCCAGTCAAATTTGAACTTCAGACAAACACATTTTACAGTTTTTAAAAGTATATCTCATATATATCCTTTTTCGAGTAATGAGAGTGTTTCATATAACCTAGGCCAGCCTTGAACTCTCTATACGTTGGGAGCTGGTCTTGAACTCTTGAGCCTCTGCCTCAGTCTCCCAAGTGCTAGAATTATATGTATGCACTGCCATGTCCGGCTTTGGAGGTCTTTGTGTAAAAAGTGCAAGCCATGAGTCTGAAGTTCTAATTTAATCGTGTCTCATGTTCTTATTGTCTATTCCTGCAGCCATGACCCCTCAACCCACAGAGTTATGGTGGCAGTCTGCACAGGTGGCTCACATGTGGTCGACCTGCACACTGTCATCTTCAGAGTCATAGGGATGATTCTTATAACCAGAAAAGATGAGCATTCAACTAAAAGTGGAGCAATGGGCTTCCTTTTCTGAAAGTTTGGTTGGCACCACTGAGAAAAGAGCCCTTTTGCTTGCTGGGCTGTGAGAAGGAATGTCTCCGGTGCCACAAGTGGGAGTCAAGCTGGAGAATGAAGTCTGACCTCAAGTGAAAGGGGAAGAAAAAGGGGGGGGGGGGGAAGGGGGAAGAAGGGGAAAGGGAGAGGAGGAAAAAGCCAGAGCCAGAGCAAGCAATATAGAAAGTGTGTGTGTGTGTCTCTGTGTGTGTGTGTCTGTGTGTGTCTGTGTGTGTGTGAGAGAGAGAGAAAGACAGTGTGTGTGTGTGTGTGTGTGTGTGAGAGAGAGAGGGGGGGGGTAAATATATAATTAGGCCGTCTGGGGTGTAGTCGAATTTTTACTTTGTAGGTTGCTGGTGCTCGTCTTCTTGGTGATGTTTCAAATGAGAACAATGGTGAAGTGTGTCAGAGTTTAGAAGCAAAGATACTGGTGGGGAAATGGGTCAGCGTGTCCAGTGCTCGTTGAGTAGGCGCAGGACCTAATCGTGAATTCCTTTTACACCCATGTAAAAGTAGAGCATGGCAGAGCCCACCTGCAGCTGAAGGGCTAGGTGATGGACAGAGACAGGAGGATCTCTGGGACTCAGGTCAGGCAGCCTAGCTTCAAGTAGTGATATTCAGATTCACTGAGAGGCCCTGTCTCAACAAGTAAGGTTAGAACACGTTGGAGGAAGACACTCAACTGACCTCTGGCTTCCACATGTGCATGCACAGATGAGCATATTTACACACACACACACACACACACACACACACACACACACACACCTGTGCATGCACATATACACATGCACACATACCATCAGGGGGGACAGTTAGGGGAAAGGTGGATCTTATGCATGATGGTATATGTAGATGGTGCAGCAGAAAGTCCTGCAGAATAAGGAGATACCATGTTGCAGTTGATAGCTCTGTGAGCTTGCAACTGTGAATCCAACTTCACTGCTTGCCACTGGAAAGGCCAAGCTGCTGTTTCGAGAATAAAGATCTGTGTGGATGTTAGAAGCTGGAAGTTATCATCAGCACCAGCTTTTCTGATTTGTGGACCCCTGCTATCTACAAGTTGTGTTCTGGGTTCGTAAATCTTGAGAAAAGTAACTGATTAAAAGGTCCCATGACTGATGGCCTCCCAAGGACAGTTTGTTCTGCTGTGATAGCTTGGGATACAAAAGGTGTCTTTTATTCAGGCAACGGGGGAAAAAGAGAAAGAAGTTACTTTCCCTGGAGGTGGAGGATCAGGGAGTGCAGAGAAAAGACGCTTGCTTCCAAGGATGGGAAAGGTAACATTTGTGAAGAAATAGGGTTTAACTCATTAAGTGCTTTAGTCAGAGGTGGTGTCGTTTACAGCAAAGCCAGTGGGAGACCATTGGCTGGCTGTGTGACTTCCACAACTAGTGACTTTAGAAAGCCAGCCAAGAGCAAGTGAAATCCAGGGTCTAATTGGGGTTTTCTGGGTAACATGCGTGCTAATGCCGCTGAGGTTGAAGGTGAGGATGGAGATTGAGACAGAAAACAGTGGCAGCACAACTCTCTGCATTAATTTACTACTGTCCTTATCAAGTCTAAACTCCATTTAAAACAATACCTACACTTCCGTCCCTGCTCGCCACGCCTCTAGCCTGAGCTACCAGGACCCCTTGCTTGTTTCTAGTATTCCCCAGCTAATGCCTCTTAAAATTGTTTTTGTGTTGTTGAATGTGCATCCACATTCTCACACATGCCATGGAGACTGGGGGTGGGGTGATATCAGGTCGATGTTGCTTTATTGTTTTCAGATGGGCTTTCTCACTGAATTTGGAGCTAGGTTGGCAAGCAGCAAGCCCTGGCCATCCTCCTGTCTTTGCCATTTCTGCCCAGAGCTGAGGTTACAGTGCATATGATCCTGTTTATCTTTTTATGTGCACTCTGGGGTTTTGAACTCATATCCTTGTGTAGCAAGGACTCTCACCTGCTAGCCATCTCTCTAGCTCCCTCACCTCAACTATTGTTGCTTCTTGCCGTTTGGCCGTGCACAGCAATATCACAGATACGGAGGGTTTTGGCCCCCTCCTCGTATAGGTTACAACTTTTCAATCTCCTGTTTAGACTTTCCAAAGGTTTAAACTGTCAGTCCAATGAGCTCTGAAGTCCCAAGTCCCGCTCGTGAGTCTGCTGATCTGTACACCATTGCCCTCTGCTTTCTTGTCTCTTTCTTCTAAGCCCCATTCCCTCACCAGATTCTTGAAACTTCTCTGGATGTACCAGACTTTCACACTCCTGCAGGCAGGGTAGGCTGGTGTCTCATCTATGTCTCAGGATCAATGTCACTTCCTTAAAGACTGACTGAGAACCCTTACTCACCCCTATTCACTTTTAACATGACGGTTCTGCAAGACTGTATCACAGCAGCATCAAGGGTTTGAGCTCTCAGTCAAGAAGGCAGCAATGAGGTGCAATTGAGAGCTGCAGCCCCCAAGGCAGGCTATCCCTGGCTCTGAGAGTCTGCTTCCTTCATTCCCATAGCCATTCACACAGCAGTGTTTACTCGGGGTGTCTTGCTTTAGGACTGGGAAGTCTGGGTTTGAGCTGCTCATGCCCTTTCTTCTTAGCATGGACCCTCGTGCCAGGCAAGCTGGTCTTGGAAGTATTCCAAAAGGAATGAGAGGGTTTGTGCTGAGGAAGGAGATGGTAGTGTTGATAACACTGACAAGAAAAGAACGGTAACAGTGTTTGTGCTGCTGGTGTTAACAGTGGTCATGAGGTTGGTGTCAGTGATGATAGAGATGGCGGGCATGGTTGTTATTGTTGGTGTGGCAATGGTGACGGTGGGGTGAGGTGGTTGTTGGTGAGGGCAATGGGAGAGATGGTGAGGCTGATGGTGGGGTAGCAGTGGTGATGCAGATGGTGGGGTGGCGGTTAGGGTAGTGGTGTTAGTGAAGTAGTGGCTGTGATGATGAAGATTTTGGTGACAAAGATAATAGAGTCACAGAACCTAACGTTCCCCATTGCTTCAAAGAATTTTTTTTGTTTAAAAAAAAAAAATCCGACCTTTTCGTTTGTAGCCAGCCCAGGAAAATTACTTGAAAGTGGATTTTGGAATCAAAAGCGCCTCAGTAGGAGGCTTTGCAGGAGACTTTGTAACCCCAGACTTAAAGAATGTCACCCTCCTCTGACTCCCTAGTATCTGAAGTCCGCCTTCTCTTCAGCACCGCCTCATTGGCACCTCCCTCAGTCCAGCCTGCTTGCCTGGGGAGCCCAGTCTTCCTGAGGTTTCAGGGCACTCGCCTTGAATCAGAGCTGTGGGAAGTGAAGGTAGACCAGAGCCTAACACTGGGGGCGCCGAGGTAGATGTGTGGGGACAACCAGGAGGACTGAGGCCGACAGGGGCGGGGAGCGGCTGGAGGGGTTCACGGAGGGTGAGGTAGGGAAGTGGAGATAGTAGTCGGGGGTGGGGGTGGGGGGCTCGGGAGAAGAGTGCAGAGCCAGAAGGAAGGAGACTCTGGAACTGAGCACGGGGCGCAGGTTGGAGCTGCGTGAGGAGCTGGTACCGGTGCTGGTGTCGGACCCGGGCTCCGAGGAGGGTCGGAAGGCACCAGGGTGGAGGTCTGTGGGGACAGGGATCCCTGAGGTCGCGGATCTGGGCCAGAGCACTTGAGGGTGGGATCACTTAGGTGAGGGCAGTGGAGCCAGAGTTTGAGCCGGATTCCAGATCCACGCTGGAGAATCTGGGGTGCAGCGAACAGACGGGTAGCGTGGGCAGGAGCCGGCGCCCGGGGGCCCTACGCTGGGAGATGCGGGTGCGCCTGAGCACTCTGGCGGGCACGGCGGCGCTGAGCGGGGCTCTGAGCTTCGTGCTGCTGGCAGCCGCCATCGGCACCGACTTCTGGTACATCATCGACACCGAGAGGCTGGAAAAGAGCAGCCAGAGGGTGCGGGACCAGGGACTGGCCAACCGCAGCCAGCAGGAGCCTCTGAGCTCCCACTCGGGACTCTGGAGGACTTGCCGGGGTAAGGGTCTTCTCAGGGTCCGCGTTCTCACACTCACATGGGTGCCGTACCTGGGACCTGTTGCTTGCCCTATACTCTTATCTTAACCTCCAAGCTCACAGTGCCAAGCACTCAGGGATGCTGGGAGGATGAACAGAGAGGCTGGTCTGCAAAAGTGCGAGGTGCCCAGCTTCCAAGTGCACAACACCCCCTTGCTTTCTTGGGCGGGATACATCTAGGGCGGCTTTGAGGGTTGGGCTGAGAATTCTGGGGTTCTGCCTGCGAAACTCCTTCCTTCCATCAGTCCAGAGCTCCTGCACGCCGTTGATGAACCCTTTCTGGCAGGAGAATGTGACGGTCAGCGACTCCAGCAGACAGCTTCTCAGTAAGTCTGGGGACAATGGATGGAAGGAACAGTCCCTTTCGCCCCTCAGTTTTGATGCTCTTCTCCAAACTTGTGTTTCTAAACTGGGGTGGTCCTGGAGGCGGTAGGTGGGTGGCCTTTGACCACAGGGCTTGAGAGGGTGGGGTTATGCCTGGGGGCGGGACCGCTCGAAAGTGTGCAGAATTCATCCAACCAACATACAGCCCTGTGCACCAACCAGCTTAGTGACTGAGCGAGACCTCAAATCCGGGTAGTGCCCTCTGGGCCCTCATGGACTTGCTGTGGAGAGAGGTCTTTACTACACAAGCAATTCCATTTGAGTGGCAATCCTCATGAAAGAAGGTGGGGGAGCCCAAGCCGGCGTCCGAATACCCTTGGATGGTAAACGCTGAATGAAAGGTCTTGTGCGGTAGACAGAGGGCCAGCTTGTCAGTAGAAAGAGTGTGGGGTGATTTAAGACAGGTACTTTGGAGGAGGCGAGCATCCTGTTTCGTGATGCCTTGATGGCTGCTGGTTTTCCCAGAACCTCCCACAGGGCATGCAATTCCTTAGAGAGGTGAAGCTCAGTATAAAAGAGAAAGGGGAATTCTGAATGGCACCTGTGGAAGGACTGAAAAAAGGGGTAATTTTGTTTATTGAAACTTAGGACTGTCCAGACACCCAGTCAAGAGTTTTCCTTCGCTGTCTTTGATTCTCACATCCACTCTGCCGCGAAGTTGGTTCCTCCCTCTTCCTTTGGTATCAAACATTCTACCACTGACTCAATTCCTGTCTCTCTTTTCTTCTCAGTTTTTATTTCGAACAGAGTGCCACTAAATTTTCTAGCCTGACCTTGAACATACACTGCAGCTCTGTCAGGCCTTGGACTTGCAATCCTCCTGCCTCAGCTCCTGAATAGCTGGAATTATATTCAGCACCAGGCCTGGATTGACATCTCTATTTTTGGCTTTCACTTGGCAACTGAGTCCAGGAAGGGTCTCCTAGCGGGAATCTGAGTGTGAAATGAGGATGGACATCCGTAGACCTTGGATGTGGGTGGTCTGGATGGACAGCCTGCGGCTTAGAAGCTCCCCTTAGCCTGCCTCTCTGTCTGTTTCTTCCTTAGCTCTTCCTTCTGCATCTCAGGCTTCTCCTTGCCATAGGACTTTGCACATGGTGATTCCTCCTCCTGATGTCTCTCTGTTCCCACCTACCAGCTTAGCTTTTCTAATTCTGTCTCATTGAGCAGGTCATTTGGCTTTTTGAATCTGACTTTTTTATTAGACTGTAAATTCCATGAGGGTGGGGATTACCTCTCTCCGGCCCACTGTCGCACTGTTGATACTTAGCACAGAACCTAGAAGACAGCAGACCACAAAGCAAAACTCTGCAGAACAAATTTGAGAGTAAATGCAAGCTATATTATGGGTCAAAATTATATAGATATGAATGAACAGACCTGTCAATAAATGGATGGATGGATGGATGGATGGATGGATGGATGGGGGAGTGAATGACTAGACAGATGGATGAGTGGATGGATGGATGGATGGATGGGGGAGTGAATGACTGGACAGATGGATG